AACTGCTCCGATATATGCATTTAGCATACCTTCACATTGGCGATACCTGCCTTAAAAATTGTGCGACTAGTATCAATTATCAAAGAAAGTATTACGTTTACCGGCACTGGCCCTACAATTACCTAATTTTACAGCTTTTTATTTATTGTGTTCATCTCGCAGAACAACGAAAATGGCTATAAATTTATGTAGTTATATAGATAATTAGATAATATTCGGTAAAAATTTCGCTAGCAGTAATTTCTACGTGGTAAGTGCTTCTTTATTAATTGGTTTCATAGGAATTTGGATACCTTCCCCATTGAAGTAGTAAAGAAAATTCGCTTAAGTGCCTTTTTCGGTTAAGTGCACAAGTTTTTCGTGCAAAGAAGGATGTGCTGCTAAGCAAAATATACTGTACTTAGCTGTGCCTGCACTTAGCTGTGACATCACTGACTTTGTGAAATTTGGGGGTGTCATTGCTTAAAGCAATTATTTTTATAAAAACGAAGAAATTATTTTCCATAGAGAAAATAGGAACAAATGCAGTTTGGCTCCAAATCTCAAATTAGAAGTCAAAATATTGGGATCGATAGAGATGATTGAGCTGAGTATAACGGTATACTTCTTTTTTTAGGGAAACAACAACAACGACAATTATCAAAGGTTAAATTTCAAAATAAGCTATTTTTGAAATCAAGATTTCCTAAAAACAAATAGATTGTATATTGTATAGTTCTTACAAAAATTGAATTAATGTAAAATAATTATAAAAAAACAACTTTTGCAGAGAACACCTTTTACAGAGAACACCTTTCTGCGTAGGCGGCCTTCGGCCGCACTAAGGGATAACCCTCACAAAGTAGAATTCTCTTTCTGTGTTGCGAACAAAACGCACTGAACACCTTTTGCAGAGAACACACCTTTCTGCGTAGGCGGCCTTCGGCCGCACTAAGGGATAACCCTCACAAAGTAGAATTCTCTTTCTGTGTTGCGAAGAAAAGGCACTGACCACCTTTTGCAGAAAAAACCTTTCTGCATAACCCTCACAAAGTAGAATTCTTTTTCTGTGTTGCGAAGAGAAGGCACTGAACACCTTTTTGCGAAGGCGACGTCGGCCGCACTTAGGGTTTGTAAGCCTTTTTTATAATTATTTTATATTAATTAAATTTTTGTAAGAATTATACAACACATATATAAAGTACGCATACCAAATTAAAGGGAATCAAATTTCCAATTTTCACAATCCATCCATTGGTTTTTAAGAAATCTTGATTTCAAAAATAGCTTGTTTTGAACTTTAACTTTTGATAATTATTGTTGTTGTTGTTGCCTATATTTTATTTTCTAATTTGAGATTTGGAGCCCAACTGCATTTATCATGAAACAAAAAAGAAAGTAGTTTCAATAAACAACTTTTGACGGATAATAAAATTTTTTGAAGTTTCATAAACTGTGAGTATTGTCAACGGCCTTCACTTTGATAATATTAAAACAATAAATCGGAGTATTTTCTTTCCCATATTTATATCAATGTAATAACATTTCAAATCAAAAACCATTATCAGTGCTTGGTACTTTTTTTTTACTTACGTGGTTCGCACCTTTTTTTAATCAAAATATTTAAAATGTACACTGTTAAAGGAGATTTCATCGCAATTGTTGTTTTCATTTTGTAATAAAAACCACGCGCGCATTATTCTGTTATTTTTTTGTTTTCTTATTTTGAATGCAATCTTGCGATTTAAAAATCGAATTCTAAAGAATGTTCTTCCCAAATAAAACCTTTTTATATTTTGGTTCAAATTTACTTTTAAACTTCTCATAAGATTTTGCAAAAAATTAGCCTTTGTGATTAGCGCTCATCATTAAATTTCACAAATTTTTAATTTATGCAAAACACCTGAACAGACCGCCCTGACAAACAACTAACAGATCGTCGTTTAAAGCACAAAACCGTGTATCAACAAAATGCACAACTGAGTATGTGAGGTTCATAGTTGCCAACTTGGTGCTTTAAGCACTAGATTTAGTGTTTTTTGAAAATTAAAACGCCAAAAAAAATTATTTAGTGCCTAGTGCTGTTTTTAGTGCTTTTTCTGAACTAAAATTACTTCGAGATAGTTAAAACCTGAAATAATTTCAAATATTTAAGGCTGTGGCAGCACTGAATTTACAAGAATCTACAAATTTAAATGGACCAAAATACAACCATGATTGATAAAAAGCTGAAGATGCAAACCCACCTTGTTAAATTCTATTCGCGTTGAAAATGCCAGTACGCAAGTAAGTTAAGTATTTCTTTTTTTCTTTTCTAATTATTTGTACAAATTTTGGTTTTTTACCACCTGAGTAAAACACATCGTTTCTTGGTGCTGAATCCAAATCTGGCCTCACAATTGCTCTAGCACTAGAATTTTGAGATATCCTAACCTCAAAGTGCCAAAAACACGGTTTTTTTTAGCGATATTTGAGGTTATATAATGAAAACATCAAATAATAGGCTGATTTCTAATTAGAGCATCATTTTCGTTTGATGCGATTCGATTTTTCTTTCTCGAGATATACGAGATATATATTAAAAAAAATTTGGGCTGAGATTTCCTATAATGGACCATTTCCTATATCACCCAAAGTATTACGAATTTTTTAATGAAATTCGCAGGGGGTGTTGAGGAGGTGCTCATTGACCGATATCATCAACATTTTGTGTACAAATGCTAATAGTTTTTAAGTTATTCGTTGTTAAAATTTCCCCACTGCTTCACAATTATTTTTTTATAAACACTGCACTAATCACTTTTCTTTTTATTAATACACCATCTTTTCTTCATAAACAAATGGATGCACATCTTTTTTCACTAAATATTTAGCCATTAATGCTTATAAAGTGTTCTTAAAATATTTTTCTATTCTCAAAGAATAGTAAACACACAATTGTTCAGCTATGGCCGCCATGAATGAGGTGCCATATCGTTGAAAATGTTAATAGTTCTTTTTAGCCAAAAATACTTTGTGATGCATTACGGGATTGAAGGCTAAAAGGAAAATATTAATTTTACGGTCTTATTTATGCACATATATTTAATTAATTTTCGCCTGCGGGGCTTTTTTCTAAAGAATCCAATACTTCCATGTATCTTGAAAATTTTTAATAAAAAATCGCGCGATTTTTTATTACAAATTTTCGCCTACGGCGCATTTTTCTAAAAAATCCAATACTTCCATATATCCTGAAAATTTTCACCTGCGGTCCTTTTTTTTATCAATTCTTCCATATATAGTGAAAATATCCAATAAAAAAGCTATATCATATATGTACATGTCCACTTTATTATTTACGTTTTCGTTGATTCCCTTTTCAGTACTTTTTTTTACATATTTTTTGTGATGTGTGGCAGCACCGCAATTTCAGTTCACTCGATGTACAAAGGAAAATGTGAGGTTAAATTGCACTTTTTTTTACAACTTTAACAACGAATTACTTAAAAACTATAAGCCTCCGGAGGGGGGGGTTTTCAGATTTAGAATCACAAAAAGACGCTCTAAACCCCCTCATTTTTTTTTTTCAAAGCCTGGTCCATTATTGGAAAATTTTCCCAAAATTTGGTGCTTTTAATGTGGTAAAACGCTTTTTTCCCAAGTTTTTGGTGCTTTTTGAAAATCAAAAGATGGCAACACTGTTGAGGTTGCATAAATTATTTTGTAGAGAGTAAAAACACTGATATTTCAAAATGCTTCTCTTTTTTTACAAAGAAATCGCATTTCAGGACAATTGGATAAGGCTTGAGCCAAGAGCTTATGTGAGCAAATCCAATTTTTGGCAAAAAATGTGATTTATGCAGCGTTTTTGCTGCATTTAAAATGCAACATTTAGCACTTTCGAACATATGTTTTCGAAGAGCGTTCATGCTATAGCATTTAGCAAATGTACATTTACCCGAGTTCGAAATCGTATGCTTTTGAGAAACAGCCGTGTTCCAGTCTCTTATTTAGATGCGTATATATTACGATCAATTCTCACGCAGAAGATAATGTGCAAAAACCCTACTGAAAAGGAAAAAATAAATTTCAAACCAAAAATTCAATACAAAAACTTGAATTGTTTTAACCATAACCGAACATTTGTTTGTGTATATATTCATTTGTCGGTGCTGTCAATTAAAATTTCCTCACTTAATTAGGAAACAAACCAAACAGAGTTGATCACAAATTGATCCAGATTTCTATCAGCATCAAATCGATGTTGAATTTGCTTAACTTTCTTTATCCAAATATGTAATGCAAAATAAAAGAAATCTCGATCGGCGATCACTGAAACGCAGCTAGCAACTGTATACTCGAAAAAACAATGTTGCCACTTTTTCCCTTTAAACCATGTTCGAATCGTGGAAATTTTGGAAGATCACAGGGTTGCTTTTAGCATTTAGACCCTTAATGCACAAATGGAGTTGCATTTAGTTGCATTTAGGTGACGAATTTTGTATGGATAAATGTACATTTAGAGTAGCATTTAGAGCTTAATGCGCTAAATGTGCTTTTACGCGTAAGCAAAAACAGCCTATTACGCGGTTTTGCAGAACGACGATACGCGGTTTTGTACTTTAAGCGACGATATGTAAGTATACACTTTCTTCATGCTTTCTGAAACCTAGTCGTCAACCCCATTTTCGAAATCATGTAGCTGGCATAATTTTCTAATTCATCATATTCCACATCTTTGAATGTACTGATAAAATCTTCTGCTTAAAACAAAAATATTTCTTCTAGTGATCAGGTAGCATAAATTTGATGAAACTTCATAACTTTATTAAAAGCCAAATGGTTAACAACAACATCGAATGTCATTAAATGAAACTACCTTCTTTTTTGAATCATGGCATTTATGCCAAAAAATATGGCCGACAAGATATGACACTTGCTCAAATCGATTCGATACAAGTACTCTTCTTTCGATACCAAGTGGGTATCGAAACAACGATTCTAGTAGAAAAAGTTGTTGGTGTCGAAACAAAAGTATCGAGTACATACTCGTATTTACTTGTATCGGAACATTCCTAATAACATTTGTTATCCGATTAATAGCGGTTGATAGCTCGGAAAAAAGAGATAAAATGTCGGAAAATAAGAAAATTGATCTATCTGGTGATGGTGGTGTGCTGAAAGAAATAATTAAGGATGGACAAGGCGACGAGCATCCGTTGAATGGTTGTAAGGTTTCCTTACACTATACGGGAAGATTAGTCGATGGAACCGTGTTTGATTCGAGCGTGGAACGTGAACCGTTTGAGTTTGATTTGGGAAAAGGTTAAATTCTAGAAGTTTCTTAATAAATTAAAATGAATTATTATTCATTCCGCAGGACATGTCATCAAGGCCTTTGATATGGGCGTGGCTACAATGAAATTAAATGAGAAATGCTTTCTCACATGTGCTCCTGAATATGCTTACGGTGTAGCTGGAAGCCCACCTAGTATTCCTCCCAACTCAACACTAATATTTGAGGTACATACATGTCAACGTTTCCTTTGTTCGAGGCTGGTACAAAAAATGCAGAGAACGTGGCACCGTCCCGTTTTCCAGCTTGAAAAACCAAAGACCAAAGTGGCATGTTTTTCTTTCACCTCCGACTGCAGTGCTCCTCAGACGAGCCTCTTTAAAATAGGGAAAAAATCGTTTTTGTTTACAAAATGCCACAAATATTTAAAGTACACCGGGGAACAAATGCAGTTGGGCTCCAAATCTCAAAAAACAAAAAAAAATATTGGGATCGATAGAGATGATTAAGCTGAGTATAACGGTATACTTCTTTTTTTGGGCAAACAACAACAACAACAAAAATTATAAAAGGTTAAAGTTCAAAATAAGCAATTTTTGAAATCAAGATTTCTTAAAAACGGATGGATGTATCTTGAAAATTTTGATCTCATTTAATAGGAAATTTGATTCCTTTTAATTTGGTATACGTACTTTATATATATGTTGTATAGTTCTTACAAAAATTGAATTAATGTAAAATAATTATAAAAAAAAAACACCTTTTGCAGAGAACACCTTTCTGCGTAGGCGGCCTTCGGCCGCACTTAGGGATTATAACCCTCACAACGTAGCATTCTCTTTCTGTGTTGCGAAGAAAAGGCACTGAACACCTTTTGCAGAGAACACCTTTCTGCGTAGGCGGCCTGCGGCCGCACTTAGGGATTATAACCCTCACAACGTAGAATTCTCTTTCTGTGTTGCGAAGAAAAGGCACTGAACACCTTTTGCAGAGAACACCTTTCTGCGTAGGCGGCGTCGGCCGAACTTAGGGTTTGTAAGCTTTTTTTATAATTCTTTTACATTAATTCAACTTTTGTAAGAACTATACAACATATATATAAAGTACGTATAGCAAATTAAAGGGAACCAAATTTGCTATTAAATGAGATCAAAATTTTTAAAATCCATTCATTCGTTTTTGAGAAATCTTGGTTTCAAAAATTGCTTATTTTGAAATTTAGCCTTTGATATTTCTGGTGTTTGTTGTTTGCCCAAAAAAAGAAGTACACCGTTATACTCAGCTCAATCATCTCTATCGATTCCAATATTTTTTTTTTAATTTGAGATTTGGAGCCCAACTGCATTTATGCCACCGGAACGACCCAGATTTATGTACGTATATCTGGCCAAGAACTGTCACTCCAGCATCACTCCCAAAAAACTCTGGCGAATTTTTATGATGTTACAACAATAGGAGCCCTGTAGTCTGAGGAGAAAGATACCTACTTGGTCTTTGCTCTTTCAAGCTTGTGAGGTGAGTGTGCCACGTTCCCCAAATTTTTTTGCACCACCCTCGAAATAAATACTTTTCGGAAATCAGCCCGTGACTTCAAAACGCATGAAATATCATTGCAGTTGGAAATGCTTGGATGGCATGGTGAAGATGTCAGCCCTAATAAAGATGGTAGCATCGAGAGATACATTATCGAAAGTAGTGATAAAAAACGGTCGCCTGGTGAAGGAGCTCTGGTTAAAGGTAAATAAACTTGTTTATAACAAGTTAAATATAAACATATCTTCTAAGTGCTGGCCGGTTAGTGTATATTAAAAGAAAACATTTATGGCCCTATTATGTATGGCGACTGGGGTCTAGTTGCTGGCCATGGCTACCAGTATCGTAAGTTGTATTATGTATAGCGATTAGTATCAGTATATAGAAAAGCTCAGAAAACATCCGAATTTACTTTTTTAACATGAACTTTTCCAAGTAATTGGCAACTTTGCTCCAATGTGTTCAACAATTTATGTGAACTAATAACAAAATCGTCGATAGCGGGAAACTGAAAATTCCGCTACTAGACTCAGTAGCCGACAGTCAGTAGCCAGTAGCCATACGTGATGCTAATTTTAGTATAAGGTTGCCCATCGACACCATACACAATAGGGTCACTAGACTCAGTACGATATTATTGGTAGTCAATTGCAACGCAAAAAACTTGCATTTAAAAATTATGGATGACTATAAGTTAATTTATTTCCATTACAGTTCACCTAACTGGCAAGTATAATGGAAATACTTTTGAAGATCGCGATGTGGAGTTTGATTACGGCGAAGGATGTGATTGTGAGGTTATCGAAGGTGTTGAAATTGCACTCGAAAAAATGACGGTGGGCGAAACATCAAGGTAAGCTGACACCCCTATGCTGTAATCCGTCGTAGTTTCGATTTTGCTACAAATCGTAAAATTGGTATGCTGAAACCCGCGTTGTCGTATCGTAATTTCGAAATTCGTAGGCCATCATCGAAATTCGTAATGTTGGTATGCCTGGAGCTAAAGAGGATGTGGTGGAATTATGGGAAAGCGTTCCAAGAATTAAAGCGGCACAATATCTAGTGGAATGGAGGCCCTTAAAAGGAGGGAGCTTACATTTTATCATTTAAGCTAAATGGATCAGAACAATCTCCTAGCAATCTCTTTTGTATCTTAATGCAACTGTTACTAACTAACTAATTTATTTATAATTTCACTATGCATTTGCGACTATATTTATTTTGATTTGTTTCTGTCAAAGCAGCTGATTCAGAACTTCGAATTTCACTATTTTAGTTGGCAACGCCGTTGATAGTTAGGATCGGATTACAGCATACCAATTTTCGAATTTTCGGAAAGGAGCTACGAATTCGTAACTACGAACTTTCGGATTACAGCGTACGGGTGTGATTCCAAAAACTTGAATACCAAGTAATTTTTAGCAAAAAAAATCGCCTTAAAGAAAATATATATATATCCATATATTTCATGATTCATTGATCGGATCTAAACCAAATTAGTATGGGACCACCTCTGAGACACTACCTTTCCGTTGCAAAAAGAATTATCGAATTATCGGTTGACGGGGTGTAAAGTTATGCGGTTACATGCATAAAAAAAAAATATTCCCACGAACTGATAACCTCCTCCTTTTTTGGAAGTCGGTTAAAAAAACTCAATGTAAACCAAATTTCCCGAAATCTTAACGAAATATTTAGGAGAATCTTTTTTCTTTAACGATTTTTTACGAATCTTCAAAGAAAATAATATGAAGTGGTTGACACGAATTCGTAAAGAAATTTCTGTACGCTAAATGAAGAAAATTCTGAAAAAATTCTGCTGGAAAATCTTCACATAGCAGCATTACTCTCATTGCTTTACCGATTTTCTTCCGAAATTTCTGAAAAGAATCTAAGTGTGTACAGTTTATCTCATTTTAGAAAATTCGGCAAAAAATCGGATATCTATACGAATTCTTTAAAATTTCTCTACAATTCAGAATACTCTGAAAAATGGTTTGCAGAGTATACATGTATGTACATACATATGAACATAGCTTGAGTTTTTTTGTATTGTAAATACAGTGACCCAAACCGTTGGTGATACTGCAAAACGGTCTATGTCTATTAGTACTCTTAACACTTACAGTATCGGTCATATCTATAGTACGCCATTTCAAAGTGATATTGTGTACCACTTATGTTTATTTATTTATTTTTAAGAATTTTCAATTAAAATATAGTTCTTTCTCTAACAAAACCCATATAAACCCAAGTTTAACAATTTGTAGAAAACTACAAAAAAATGTAACAAAATTTCACCTAAGTTTCAACCTTTTTTTTCGGAAGTGTTATAATTTTTCTGTATACACATTTTTATAGCCCAATTTTAGTCTGATAATGTGCAAGTTTCAAGTGGATAAAGGTTACCGTTGATTTTTTAGAATTTTTTCGCCAAAGGTGTTGCGGTTTTCTTCCATATACAAATAAATTGAGTTTATTCATTATATCGTCGCTCCCAACGAAGAGTAGCACATCTCAAATTACCGTGGAAGACTAGCACGTTTCACTATTCGCGTCGAAGACTAGCACATTTCATTATTCGCGTCAAAAAGTAGCACATTTCAGATTTTTGCGTGGAAGACTAGCACATTTCATTATTCGCGTCGAAAAGTAGCACATTTCAGATTTTTGCGTGGAAGAGTAGCACATTTCAGACTTTTGCGTGGAAGACTAGCACATTTCACTATTCGCGTGGAAGAGTAGCACATTTCAGATTTTTGCGTGGAAGAGTAGCACATTTCAGATTCTCGCGTAGAAGAGTAGCGAATTCATATAAAGTGGTACTAGCAGCCGTACAAAAAACAAACATACATGTACGTTATAATTATTTCTCCTCGACTAAGCTGAGAGTTTAATGTTGTGTATTGAGCGTTTCGGTATTTTATTACAAATAGAATAAACGTTTTTTTTCCTCCTACTTGTTTTGACGCATATTCGCGTCTTCCTCAGGGAATCTATTTATAAATACGAGAAACATATATGCACATTAGGGTGGTCCAAAAATGCATGTGAAAAAGTAAAGTCGGAATTTTTATGCTCTCACCCCTAGGATTGTTCTATACAGAAAAAATATACACCTATTTTTTATTTTGAAAACAAAAAATATTTATAGGTCGCTCAAAGCGCCCAAAGTTTTCCATGTATTTTATATGGGGAAAAAAACTTTTGGTAGAAATGGTTTGGAAATTAAAAAAAAAACTAATATTTTTCTATCAGAAAACTCTTCATCTGCAGGATTCCCAATAATAATACCCAATTGTTTATTTAACCATTTTTTCATCGCAACTATAATTTGCAGGTCCGCCAAAAACCTACAAAAACCCCGTTAGTATTAAAAAATTGTTAATTAAATAATTGGGTATTATTATTGTAAGTCTCCTAAAGAGAACCAGAGTTTTCCGATCGAAAAATATTGATTCAAGAATTCTTTACCATTTCTACGAAAAGTTGTTTTCCCCATATAAAAATACATGGAAAACTTTGAGCGCTTTGACCGTCCTCTAAATATTTTTTGATTTTAAAATACCCCATAGTACACTTTTTTCTATATAGAACAATCCTAGGGGGTTAGAGCATTACAATTCCGACTTTACTGTTTTGGACCACCTAATGTAAATGCAGTCATATCAAGAGCACCTCATTTCAAAGTGATATGTTTTCCACTTATGTTCATTTATTTATTTTTAAGAATTTTCATTAAAATAAAGTTCATTCTCCGAAGAAGTCCATATAAATCCAAATTTGTAGAAAACTAAAAAAATCTAAAAATGTTCATCCAAATGTCAAAATTATTTTCTCAGAATTTTTTGTGTATATAGATTTAAAGCCCTTTCAATTTTATTGCAATAATGTGCAAGTTTCAAGTGGCTAAAAATTTCCGTTGTTGCGGTTTTCTTCCATATAAAAATAAATTTTGTTTATTCGTTATATGGTAGCGAATGCGACAAAAAGAATCAACGTGTTGTCAGTAACTTAACCTCACTTTTTCGGCAGGTCTATTCCGGACACGCATTTTAAAGTATTAGAAAAGATGCTAACTATTTACTACTTTTAATCCGTTTGTGCATACTATTTCAAATTAAATGTAGAAAAATGTATAATCACAGGCTTATAAGCCTGAATATATGCTTGTATCGTCAGCTCCACACAGCTTGGACATATATTGTAACTTATAAAAAAGTAAAAGCCGTAAAATAAAGCAATTTCGTATAAGACTAAATAATTTTTGAAATAGATTAAAACACATAAATATCGATAATATAAGCGAAATCATAATTTAATGCAGCAAAAGATATTTAATATAAAAAAATCGCCTTTCATACGATTTTTGTGTACGTCTTTTTCCATTGATCACCACGATATCTTTTATATTTTATATTTTGAGGACACAAATTATACAAACCCAGCAATTTTAAATATTAATATCGTTCTGAAAACACCAAGTTCTTTAAAAATCGCGATAAAACCAAATACTAAAATGGAGTAGTTTAGATACCATTTCCCAACGAATAGTAGTATAAAAATTAAGATCGGCAGCACTGAAAATAAGCATGCCGATCTTGTCAAAATTACAAGAAACACGTCGCTACTGACAACACCTTGTTATTATTCCACCATGCACATTATCACACTAAAATTGAATCGGCTATAAAGCTTCATACTCAAAAAAATTGTAACACTTCTGAGTATTAAATTTGAAATTTGAATGAAAATTAGTTGATTGTTTTTAGATTTCTACAAAATTTTAAGCGTGGGTTTACATGGTTTTTTTAAATGAACTTTATTTTATTTGAAATTGAACATTTNACTACTTTTAATCCGTTTGTGCATACTATTTCAAATTAAATGTAGAAAAATGTATAATCACAGGCTTATAAGCCTGAATATATGCTTGTATCGTCAGCTCCACACAGCTTGGACATATATTGTAACTTATAAAAAAGTAAAAGCCGTAAAATAAAGCAATTTCGTATAAGACTAAATAATTTTTGAAATAGATTAAAACACATAAATATCGATAATATAAGCGAAATCATAATTTAATGCAGCAAAAGATATTTAATATAAAAAAATCGCCTTTCATACGATTTTTGTGTACGTCTTTTTCCATTGATCACCACGATATCTTTTATATTTTATATTTTGAGGACACAAATTATACAAACCCAGCAATTTTAAATATTAATATCGTTCTGAAAACACCAAGTTCTTTAAAAATCGCGATAAAACCAAATACTAAAATGGAGTAGTTTAGATACCATTTCCCAACGAATAGTAGTATAAAAATTAAGATCGGCAGCACTGAAAATAAGCATGCCGATCTTGTCAAAATTACAAGAAACACGTCGCTACTGACAACACCTTGTTATTATTCCACCATGCACATTATCACACTAAAATTGAATCGGCTATAAAGCTTCATACTCAAAAAAATTGTAACACTTCTGAGTATTAAATTTGAAATTTGAATGAAAATTAGTTGATTGTTTTTAGATTTCTACAAAATTTTAAGCGTGGGTTTACATGGTTTTTTTAAATGAACTTTATTTTATTTGAAATTGAACATTTTGAAAACAAAATTTCAATGGTTAACCATAAAACAATATGAATTGCTTAAAGCTTAAAGGGGAAAAATGCCTTTAAAAAAATAAAAGTGGATGATCTCCAGCAAATGATCACTAAACGCTATATACCGTCTGAATTTCATAAATTTTATAATGGAATTATAGAAATATAAAATAAGCTCTTGAATTTCCAATATAAATTATGCTTTTATGATTTAGTTTAAACCCTAATTGTGCTACTCTTCCACGCAAATACTCTTCTACGCAAAAATCTGAAATGTGCTACTTTTCCACGCAAAATTCTGAAATGTGCTACTCTTCCACGCGATAGTGAAATGTGCTACTCTTCCACGCGAAAATCTGAAATGTGCTACTTTTCGACGCGAATAATGAAATGTGCTAGTCTTCCATGCTAATAGTGAAATGTGCTAGTCTTCCACGCGAATAGTGAAATGTGCTACTCTTCGTAGGGACCGACGATATGGAAGCCAATGCGACAAAAAAAATTCTAAAAAATTAACGGTAATTCGTAGCCACTTGAAATCTGAATTATCAAACTAAAATTGCAGGGGCTAAAAAACTGTGTACTTAAAAAAATTCTAACACTTCCGAGAAAAAAGTTTGAAATTTAAGTGAAATTTTGTTGGACTTTTTTGTAGGTTTCTACGAATTGTTAAATAAACATAAGTGGCACACAATATCACTTTGAAATGGCGTGCTATAGATATGACCGATACTGTATATGGTCTCTTAATTGTACCGGAATGCATCTGCAAATCGTTACATCCTAATAAACGAATGACGCAACTGTCTGCCTTTGGCTGATGAAGACGAACGATTGCCAGAAGCGATCAGATACAGATAACAGATGAATTAAGCACCAGAGGTAATAAGTGACACAGAACGTTTTGCAGTATCTCTTCTTCTTCTTTATTGGCGCTGTAACCGCCTAAGCGATTTTGGCCGAATCCAAAACAGCTCGCCAGTCATTTCTCTTCTGTGCTAACTGACGCCAAGTGAAGCCAAGTCCTTCTCAACCTGCTCTTTCCAACGCAGAGGAGGCCTTCCTCTTCCTCTGTTACCAGTATCGCGGCCCGCGTTGAATATTTTCAGAGCAGTAGCGTTTCTGTCCATTCGAACGACATGGCCAAGCCAGCGGAGCCGCTGAATTTTAATTCGCTGCACTATGTCTATATCGTTGTAAAGCTCATACAGCTCATCGTTAAATCGTCTGCGATATTCGCCATCACCAACGCGTAAAGGTCCGTAAATCTTTCGCAGAATCTTTCTCTCGAAAACTCCAAGAGCCGCCTCATCAGATGCTTTC